GTGCTTCGATGTACGACAGGCGACGGGCCAACCGCCAGCTCAAGATCCGGCTACTCCAGGCTGAAGTGGTGGAGACTCTCCTGTATGGGTGCGCCTCGTGGAGCCTAACAGCGGAGCACTACACGAAGCTCAATGGGACCCACCGCCAGTTCCTTACACGGTGCATCGGCTGGAGCAAGCGGAAACGCTCAGACCGCCCCCTGTCCTATGCCCAGGCAGGCTGCGAGGAAACCATCGAGGCCACCGTGCGCAAACGGAGACTGTGTTTCGCGGGCTTTAATATGCGCATGGAGGACACCCGCCTCCCCAAGCGCATGCTGTTAGGAGCGATGGCGGGGGGCGTGGGATACCGGGGCGGGCAGGAGAGCGACTGGGTGTCTCGTCTAGGAGAGGACCTCGTGGCCTTCAACATGGGTGACGAAAAGGAAGGGGGTAAATGGAAAGTGAGCGCCAAGGACCCGGAGGTGTGGTACAACAAGGTCGAGGACGGGGCGGCATGGTTGATGAGGAAATGGCACAGGCAGGAGGCGGAAGCGTCCGCGAAGCGCCAGCGCGCGAGGGATGCAGAAGCAGAGAGTATGGCCTCAGGACCGAAGAGAAAGAGAGCCGGGGAAGCGGCGGTGGGGGGGAAGAAACGGTGACCGGGCACTGCTGTAGAAGCGAGTAGGGCGGCCGAGGCAGCACGTGTGGCGAACTATGTACCCGGCTGATGTTGTTGCGCCCTGTTTCCCTCCCTGCTGTATGCTATACTCCTTTGTGTATGTCCTTTGTATTGCCTTCGGCCTCTGTGCTGTGTTTCCTTTTTTCATGACCTCCCTGCCTACTCTGCTGTGTTGGGTACCTTGATCTCGCTTTGTTGTTTCTGTTGCCTTTGTTTTTGTACGTCTGGCTGCCTGCCCATCTGCCGCCTCTTTGTCCTGTTTGCTCCGTTACTCCCATGCCCTGTTGCGTAATGCCTGGTGCTGGTACGTTACCCTTTGATTATGGATTTTTTCTTTGGGTGGGTGTGGGAAGCGTCCTCCTTTATTTTTGTTTTTGTTTTATTTTGATCGGTTTCCGACGGCTCTTGTCTCGAACGGTCGGTGCGATACCTGTTCTTTTCTTTCTATCATTTTGTTTTCTTGTTCCGAGTGGTTTGTACCCAATTTTCGTTTTGTTTCCCCGCGTCGTCGTATGTGCCGGGTTTTGAGACCACGGGCTCCCCATTTTTTATGGACTATAGAGCTAATGTGAGAAACAACAACAACAACAACATGTCTAACCTGCTGACAACTTCAGTCAAGGCAAAGAGTAGCATTGAATGCTTGAATCTGAATGTTTGACTGAAGTGGAGTACTGGTGATATTTAACCCAGGCCTATGTCAGGTATCCGTGAATGGCAGCTACATACACATGGCGGGCGTTCGGGTACCTGCGAGGGGTTTGTCGAGGACCGTTTGATAGCCGCCCCGCTCCTCTCCATGGCTTGCTGCCAAGTCTGGAAAAGAAGGAACGAGTCCGCCGACTCGTAGTCGAGGAGCTCGGTGTAGTCCCCGTACTGGACCTGCAATCACCAACACGAAAGAACCCAAAAATCGTCATGAGCGGTTATGGCTGACCAGATGAGGAAAGGCTGGTTGTACTGCATGAGGGACTGCAGCCGTATCGAATCACGCCATGGGGCTACTAACCATCAATGCATGCGTACGGAGACCCGACTTTATTCGCGTAAGCCTCTCACGAACTCGGAACCCGCCCCCAACACCATGAACCACGCCGGCGCACCGTGTAGGACAGCTCGAAGTCCGCTGTCCCGTTCCCTCCGGAGTACACCGCTCGAGCGCTCCGGTCCGACCTTCCCAGGCTTAGACCGATGGACGGCGTGCCCTGCGCCTCTCCAACCAGCACGACCGGCTGCGAGAAGGCGCAGATGAGGCGGATTATGTCCCCGGTGCCGTAGACGCCGTCCCCGCTGGTGACGGCCACGGAGCGCACAAAGGGGGCCTCGGTGTCAAGGGTGATGTTCCTGTCGAAAGAAATCGTGCCGGGGTCCCCGGGGACGGCAAGAAACAGGAGAGCGTCTACGGAGGGCCTGTCCGAGGCGGCCTTGACCTGCGTTTTGGTGTCGGGGTGGGGGGGTTGGCCAAGGAGGATGGGGGGAGGAGGAATGTGCGGGGGCTCAGACCTTCAAAGCATTTGCCTCTTGCTGGCTTGGCGGACGAACGACGACCGTCACATACAGGTGATTTCCTACCCCTTCAAGCTTGCCAGCAGAACTTTGTCCAATTTGGTTAGAAACGAAGTTTACTTGCTGCTCTCGCTGCAACGCGATGGAATCCCAAGCGTTACCGGCATGAAGTTTTAAAGGGTACCACTTATCTAGCGGGAAGCTCTTCCGTAACTCTCTAAAGTGGCAATCACCTGGCGTCGATCGGTAATTGTAAGAGGTTTTCTCTACGGAAGACCTAAGGAAGACTCCGATGCCCACCTCTGCTGCCGGCGCTTTGACCAGTGCCGTGGAGAACTTTTGGCGACCGTTAGTCCGCGTGTCCAGGATATCAAACCTGTCCGTGCTGTCGCCCTCCACCACGGTGTACCGGAACGTGAGAGTGTCCGTCATGTTTCCACTCAGGTAGTTTGCCTGCATCAGAGAAACGAAACACAAGTACACGTATGGGAAGGGATGAAGAAACATAGTAAAACATCGTATGGTCGCGGCCTGCCCGCCGAAACGTCGCAGAGGAGGCACAAATACCGCACATATATGACTTGCAGTAAACTCAATAGTTTCGGGGTAGATTGCAGTGCACTTTATGAAGTTTGTGGTGTGTAAATCAAAGCACCGGGGCTCGGATACGGTACCACATAAAAAGAATCACGCAACACAGAGGAGCTTTGAGAAAATCATGATTTTGGTCTACGAAACAGGTGCAGGTATCTATTTTTTGCTTCACGTTTCCGCTCAGGCTACTTCTACAAGTCTGAATTAAGTGCAAAATAAATCAGTGTCCCCCTCCTCCTCCTCAAACAATAGTTTTTTATCACCAGTCATGACACGGGCACCAACGTGTGCGTTGGGGGAATCCTTTTCGTACGAGCAAGAACGGGCGGTGCCTCCGCTTCGAAATGGGGGGTGCTTGGCCATGGCGACCCCCCAAACACATGTGCCCCCCCCCCCTCCCCCCCGATGTTTACCATCGGGGTTGGGTTTTCATCGCTTGGCAACGACGTTGTAAAACAAGCCGCCGCCCCTGGTGTTTGCCATCAGGGTTGGGTTTTCGTCGCTTGGCAACGACGTTGTAAAACAAGTCCCCCCCTCGGTGTTTGCCATCGGGGTTGGGTTTTCGTCGCTTGGCAACGACGTTGTAAAACAAGCCAATTCACTTCGTGAANTAAGCACAAGATGCCGAACACCCTTAGCAAGATGCAGCGCACCCTTCATTGTTGTCGCCGAAT